ATTTATTCCTAAAGCTGTCTTTGGCTGAGGCTCTGCAACATGGGAAAGCAGTGTGTTGGGGTAGGATGAACAAAGTTTAGGAGGTAGAGACCAGTATTCAACCTTGACCTCACCTTAGCTTTTATTTCGTTAGGGTGATTATATCATCCCTCTAAGCCTTAGTGTCCTCATGTGAAAAAGAGAGGTTAATAATATTTACCATGTAGGGTTGCAATCAGGATTGACGTTTAAGGTATAAAGCAGCGTGCTTGGCATATACTAGATTCTCAATACATATGAGTTGCCTTCCCTCTTTACCTGAAACTTTTGCAGCTTTTCCCATAAGGAAACAAGACAGTGATTACCAGACTGGCCAGAGCAGTCTGTGAAAACACTAAGGAGCCCAGACATTGTTTGGCTGGATCCCGGCCTTTAAACACTTGCTCTCTCCATGACTGGGTGACTCACGAAAATGATGGGCCTTGGAAGACAAGGAGCATAAATTTAGAACAACTGGAAGGATTGCGAAGTGGATTAAAGCTATTTACAAAACGGTGGCATTGTGCAATCAATGATCTTTCTTAGTGTTAATTTCTGAATAAATATATTGGACCTGTAGTTTTGTTTAAGGCACTAAACAGAGGGAGAAAAGGATAAGCAACAAAGTTTTTGGCCTGCTCTCACATCCTATGGAATCTCCCAGGATTTTTTTCTTCCAGGTTTACCCAGAGTGTGAATCTGACCCCGTGATACAACCTTTTTGAAGAACTCTGTGCAAACAATGTGATCTTGTTTCTCTCCCTCCTTCCAATTCCCCATGGAATTTTCAGGGATGAGCCGAGCCTTTTCATCCTGAAAGCAAGCAGACATAAGTTAGTATCTCACTGTCTTTCCTCCCTCATCCTTTTCAAAATCTTCATTTAAAGATTTGTGGAGTGAACAAGACAGATCCTGATTTATTTGTTGTGTGCAGAATTGAAAGGAGCCAGAAAGAAAGAGAACCGTTCCCAAACCTCAGGAGCGTTGGAAAATATATTTTAATCAGAGAAATTCATTCAAAGGCACATCTTTCCAGTGTATGTAAGATGAGCTATTTAAAAAAATCCCATTGCCCTTCCAAGAGCCTCCTTGAGATTTATTTACAAGATCATAGTCTGAAAATGCAAATTATGGGCCAGGAAGCTCAGAACATCACATGTGGGCCTCATTTGCGCAAGAGATTTGTAATTCAGATGATAACTTAAGATATGAAGATATGACTTAGGTAACTTAGATATGACTGACTTAATTTTCCCAATGATGTTCCGTGGAAAGTCCAATGCTTTCCTAAGATTTCTGCAAATTCCCAGGGGACTTACATGCTCATAATCACCTTTGAGCCAGTTACACTGAATTTCAGTTCACTCTGTGAATCCTAAGTTGACCTAATTTTGGACCAGATAGGGAACACAGCTTCTTTCCTTGATTTTTACAAAAATCCACTCACATGGGCCTTTTTTGAAGGTTTGTGAAAGAGGAGAAATAAATATAAAGCAACACAAACAACTTAAATTCACTAATTAGCCATCTCTCTCTTTAAAGAAGTCCTTTAGATACCTTCCAACTTGGGCACGTGCCTTTCCTCATGCTGCTGGGCTCTCCCCACACTCCTCTCCCATCTTATTCATTCTTGGCAGACAATTTATCAAGCTCTCTTTCTCTTTTTTTCTGTCATTCACTTTTTTCTCCTTCTCCTTTTGACTGTCTCTTACTTATCTATGCCCATAGGGTACCACACTTTCAACCCCAGTGACTTGCTAAGGTATTTTTTCTATATAAAAGCAGTTCCTTCCCAAAAAAGAATTTTGGAGAAAGCTGCTAAGATAATAATGGTTTTGAAAGCTTTACAAATATGTTCTGGAGGTGTATGAAAGTTCACTGAAAAGCGACTTCAATCTAAATTCATGTGAAGAAAGTTCATTATTTAGAGGACTGATATGTTGAATCTACAGCCAATGTGAAAAATTCTTGTTTTGGCTTTCCAGATGATTTTAACAAAAGAATTCTGAGTTGTTCTTTCTACTTGGCACTGGATGGACGGAAAGGGCTCTGTGATATTTCTTTCCATAGTGAGAAGGGTTATGGTCAAGCTCTTTTTTAGCTTCTAAAGGAAGATGCATACCACATGCTTTTAAGCTGTATTCTGTTGTCAACTGGTGGTGTCTAGGCCTTGTTCCTACATGGAATGCACCCATAAGCACCCACACCCATCAAATATCCAGAAGAATCCCTCTGTTATGCCTGGGGGGGAAAGGCAGAATCTTATATTTGCATAATTTAGGAACATGGAGGAAGAGCCCTTTTCTTCCCAAAAATAACTTCTCCAATTTCCTTCTGACTCCTGAAATGCCTTTAACAGAAGATTAAAGTCGTCTATTCTACAATTTGATATAGGGCTTAAAATGCAGTCCAAGAAGGGGAGTACGAACAGTGTATATTTATACCAAGATGTGAATTAATATCAGATCTTTTCTTCTGAGAGCTATTTTATTTTGGATAGGCAAAAGAAACCTCAAAGGCCTTAAAGTAAGGGGAGTTGAAAAAAGGAACAGGATGGAAATGCTGTGATTTAGACAAAGTCTATTTCCAGAAGGGAAAAGATTGGAAGAGAAAGGGAACTAATGTTTATTGAGCACCTGCCTTATGCCAGGCAATGTTCCGTGGGTTCATCTATGTGATATAAATATCTTACATAATTCCAAAACACCCTGAAGCATAAGGAAGATCACCTTTTGTACTGAGCCACATCTGCCTAACTCTTAGTCATCCTCACCCATACTCCAACTGTAATGCATAATTCAACAGGCATCTATGGGTCCTCTCCCTTCACGCCCCCTACACATAAGCACAACTATGCGCAAAGCATCTCGTGTAGACCAGTAAGAAGTGAAAAGCAGGACTCTCCAACACGTCTTCCCCTCAGTATCCACTTGTCTCTACGTAGATGCCTGCAAAAAGAGCCACTCTTTTGTACACCTGAGGGAAGAGAAGGGAAGCAGAGAATTAAGAAGATAGGATAATGCCCATATTCTTCCTCTGTATAAAGTAAGGCTTTGTGTGTGTGTGTTTGTGTGTTTAATGTATGAAGAAGCCTTGGCATGGGTAGACAATACAGGTTACCTTAAAAGCATGTAGTGTGACTCCACCATTAGACCCTAATAATCACTTGACCATAAATCTCCTTACTAGGGAAAGAAACTTCACAGAGCCTCTTCCTTCTATTCTTATGCTATGTAGTGAAAAAGAACAACTCACAGTTCGGTTACTTAAAAAGTCTAGAAAAAATAAACTAAGGAGTAATTAGTCACAATGCCAGTAGATTCAACATAGCAGCCTTCTCAAAAAGGAGCTTTCCCTGGTTCACTTTGGGTGGTCACGAGCCTCATGTGGAGAAGGGCCAGAAGGAGAAACCGACCTAACCATTCAAGAGAAATTTCATCATGCAGCTCAGTTCAAATACAGCTGTTTTGGGGCCTGGGTGACAAATTGTGACACACAATTCTATTCCATCCCAAGGTCACTACCCTCAGTCCCAGGTACAATCAACTCCAGGAAAGCCGCAGCCCCTTGAGGATTGGGATTTTGGAGAGCGTCTGGAGGGAGCAGTCCAGGCGTGGATGTTGCCGTTCTCGGGGCGGGCAGTGGCTGCGGAAAGCCTTCTCCCTGTTGCTTTGCAGGCAGCCGATGGGGACAAAAGGGAACTGGAACAGGAGAGGGAACCGAGCTGATGCCACGTGGTGACCACTGCTAACAGGCTTGTCTAGGGAAAACTGGAAAAAGCTCCTTCAAGGAACCTCAGTTACTGTTAAGGAAAGGGAGGAGGGACTCTGTAGAGGCTGCCTGGGGTTCTGCTAAGATGGAGCTCTCAGGCTTGTAGACATTTGGACTATGAAGGCTTCCTTACCTTGGCGAGGTAAGGGGTGGTTCCTCCAGTGGAGGAAATATTCATCAAACATCCAACAGCAGTACATAACTTGTTTTCCCCAAGTCACACCAGTCACGGGAGAAATCAAGGTCCCTATCAGTTCCAAGATAATCATGAAAGAAGTTGGGTCCAGTCCCACAGTGTTTGTTACCCGTCCTCTGACTCCAAAAGCTCCCTCAACCTCAGTGTCTGGTGTTAGACTTTTTTTCATGGTGATAAGGACCATTATGAGGGAGGAGTGACCCCCCAGACCCAGAGGGCTCAGTGTTTCCTGGTGTTGCCACATGGCAAGCCTCCATGCCCTATTGTCTTGCAGTGTCTCTGACACAGCTCTTCCTAATTTTACTAACATCTGACATCCCCTCTTCCCTCATGGAACTGGGAAAGGAGCTGTGGGGACTGGGCCCCAAGACAAATCCTTATAGGAAAGCTAATCCTGTTCTTGGAATCAGCCCTTTTCTCTACCTCTAGGACTTTAGATTTAGTGTCTCAGCCTGACTTCTCTTGGGTTAGGTTCTCTCATAGTCTCTAATGCAAGGAGATGGTTGGCAGTGCCATCCATCTCACCCACCATCTATGCTCTGACATATCTTAGTCTCACCAGACACAATTTAGGTCAAGGTTAAGGAGATGAGTTAGATTAGATACAACCTCACTCGTATCACAAGATGTGTCTGCCCGTTCTCAAGCCCCTAAGCCATGTTGCTTTCTCTCAGGTGACCTGAGGCCCCTCATTCAATATATCTGTCTTGACTTAGAATTCTTGAGGTGGGCCTGCAATTGTGCTTCTCTGCATCTGCTCTTTAAAACAGGACATAATTTAAAAAACAGTGATGTAACCGGTATAAACAACGGCCTGGGGGAGAAGCAAGGTAAGAACAATTTATTCCAACTTAGAGAATTAGAGAAGATTTCAGGAAAGAGGTTAAATTTGGATCAAGACCTTTTAAAAGTGGGCAGATATTCAGCAGATGAATAAAACAGTAAAGGCATTCATTCCTTCACTCACTCCACAAGCATTTATTGAGACTCCATTATGTGTCTGGCTCTGCTCTAGGCCTCAGGAACACGCACGAATGGGACATCATTCCTGCCTTCAAAGAACATGCAATATCTTCCTTTCAGGCTGAAGAGACAACATGAGCAAAGGCACAGAATCCCAGAAGGTATGTGGCAAGTTCAGCAGAGTGTGGCTGAGACATAAGGTCTATTGTGTAAGGAGACAGGTAGGAAAAAGACAATAAAAGTTTTGAGCTGAAAAAGGGCATGATTACTTTGTATTTTAGCTGAAAGCATTCCAATGGCTCCCTGTTACCTAAAACTCTCAAGGGCTGCTCATTACTCATGAGATAAAGACCAAAGTTCTTAGCAAGGATTCTAAGGCCTTGCAATGTCTGGCCCCTACCTACCTGTTCAGCCTCATTTTAAACCATTTTCCTTGTCCTTGCTGCATATGGGCCTCACTGATCTTCTGCGACCACACCACGCACTGCCCACCACAGGGCCTTTGTACAGATAGTTTCCTCTTCCAGTACACCTTTCCCCTTTGCGTAATTAATTTCACCTCCTTTAGATCTCAGCTGAGCCATTACTTCTTTGAGAAAGCTTTTCCTGATCCCCACTCCCCCCCAACCCCTACTAGATCTAATCCTCTAGTATATACTCATGTGTATTTATGACTCCTTGATTTCTCTGTCTCCTTCACTAGGCTATAATCAAGGGCAAGGACTCTGTTCATCATTTCCTCTCCAGTGCCTACTACAGTATCTGGCACATTGTAGACGTTCAACAAACATTTATTAAAAGTGAAGAAAATTATTTTTTTCTGTAACAATGTGGAGAGAGACTTTGAGTGGGAGGCTGGGTTACAGGCAGGACAAGTGTGGAAGAAGCTTGCATCCAGTGCACCAGCACACATTATAGTCAAATAGGAGATTGTAAATGAATAATAATCTCTCCTTGTGGCAGCCAGGGCTCATCAAAGTGATGAGTCTTCCTCTGGCGGCTGATTAGGCTGAACTCAGTGGCTGAGTAATCCCTCTCTCCAGGAATCGTCTCAGTCTAGCTCCTGAGTATGAAAAAGCCCTGATATTTTCCATTGGTTAATTAAGTGTGGTGGCTCGTCACAGATCAGAAAGGTGAAGGCATCGTATTGAGAATGTGCAAAGAGTGGAAATATGGTGAATTTTAGCTGTTTATGAATAAAGGGGTTAACATTAAAATCACAGACAAGAGACAGCACAAGGAAAATTGCTTTATCACAACTGTCTCTGAAATTGTGAAGGGTTAGGATAAGTGGGCTGATGAATCAGTGCTTCTATCTTTCTGCTGATGACTTCATGAGAGTAAATGGGCTCCATCCACAGGGAGAGAAATTTGAGCAAATTGTTTCTTAACAAATTTCCAGAGGGAGTTTATAAGATCTTTATCTTTGGAGAAAGAATATGGTGGAAACAATAGCATTCACTGCTCTGCTGATGAACACTGTCCTACCTCAAGATGGTGTGAGTGGTGGTGGTGGGGAGCACGCAGTTCTCCTAACCATCGTTTCCACCACTAGGATTATGTTGTGTGGGTGTTGGGGTGGGGGTGCACGCAGTTCCCTAACCATGCCTTCCTCCAGTAGGAGTACATTGCACACGGGGTTCTGAAGCTATGGAATGATCACTTGTTTGACATTTCTTGTTTTAATCTGGTAAGGCTTTGCAAACCCCATGAATCATCAAATATGCCATGCTTGAAAGATTTTGACAAGCTTTATGAGTCCACGTAGTGCTATTTATTTTTGTTCTCTCTCATTCCTTCTCTATAAGGAGGAGCACTTTCAAGGGCATCCTTCACAGAATTGGCCAGGAGCCACAGTGGCAAATCGAACTCCATCATCCTGGGGCAAGGAGTAACATGTTTCGCTCATGCCAGCTCCCTAGTGTGGTGTTAAAATGACTGATAGAGTCAGCTATTTGCACAACCAGTACTCAGAGCAGATTCCAGGAACTGGGTGTGAGCAAGTGAGATGCTATTTTTTCGCGTAAACAAGCCATGCTGGAATGTCCAGATCCATGTTTGTTGAGGACCTATCTGGTAGAACTGAAGATTCACCCTCAGGTTCTATCCCAAATATTTCTGACATGGCACAGTGCCTAAATTACCTTCCATGATCATCCCTCCTTTGGAACGTGGCATCGAAAGAGCTATAAGTAAACAAAATTGCTATATGGAAGTAGTAGCAAAATAGTACTATTTTTATCACCTAACTAATTAGTTTAGTTGGCCTAATTATCTAAATCTGTGTTGTCTAAAATGGTGGGCACTAACCACAAGTGGCTACTGAGCACTTGAAACGTGCCTAGTGCCTAATCATCACGTCTACTTAATTTCAATTTCATGAGATTTTAATTAGTATTAACCCCAAAACAAAGTGGGGATCTATGGTCAGTGAGTTTGAGAAATCTGATTTAAAGAAACAGGGGGCTGGCCAGGCTGCATAGTGGTTAAGTTCGCAAGCTCTGCCTCGGTGATCTGGGGTCCGCAGGTTCATACCCCGGGCACAGACCTAGCACCAATTGTCAAGGCACACCGTACCAGCATCCCGCACAAAATAGAGGAAGATTGGCACAGATGTTAGCTCAGGGCCAGTCTTCCTCACACACACACACACACACACACAATTAATTAATTAATTAATCAAAGTTGCCTTCTACTACACAATTTCTAAGAATCTTCAACATGCCAATGTTCATTATGTCTTTCCCAGAAGAGGATGCTGTAGGCCACTTTAACAATATCCTGCCGTGGGAGACAGTTTGTTTGTTTCCACAGGGTATCTTGAGGAATACTATCTGGGAAATGACTCTCTACATGAACAGGACCCAGAAGGAATATGCCAGGCAGAGATCTATGCCTTTATTGAGAGAAGATGTGTCCTCAAAAGCAGAGCTCTGGGCCTCAAACTACAGGGAGTTAAGACAGCTTCTTTGCTATGTATTTATTCACAGAGTTTTTGTGAACTTGGACACCCCATGGACTTTACCTATCACCTTTGCCCTATACTGACACCATTTCTCCTTTGGAAAAGAAGGAGGTTTGACGAGATGAGCTATATGATCTTCTCCAGAAGAGAAAATTTCAAGATTCTATAGCCCATTCCTTCTGACTCTAATCCCTGAAATTTCCTACTTATTTAATGCTTTCAAACTATAGTTGGATAGGGCCTGATTAAGTCAGAAAATAATATGAGATAATATCCAGTTGATGGTAGCATTCTACTTCACTGGGTGCCTCCTAGCTGAAAGGAAGGAAGGCAGACCATGAAGAGAAGTATACGATCTTGAGGGATATACATGGTACAAACCAAGAAGGTGAATACAGAAGCCTGAAGAAAAGGTAAAGCTGTTTAAGTAAGTAAAGTTGTCTGTAAGGGCTTTAGATAATAGGAGTTTACCTTGATAATAATTTCAAGCCTCTGAAGACAGGGAAGTGACATAATCACTGACAGACCAGGAGCAGAGAGTGGCTGGTGAGGTAGCTGTGTGTAATTGAAAGTGACATGACTAGAATCAGAAATATCAACTGGAAATCGTAGCAATTATCCAAGAAAGAGATGTTGGCCAAGGATTATGCCCAGGTTTTTTACTTGGACAACCAGGTAGATGAAGGTATTCGTTCTAGGAAATAGGAAAGATGGAAGGATGGGCAGGTTTGGGAGGCAAGATAATGATGCCTTCAGGTTGGGACATGTGGACTTGGACATGGCTGTGACACTGTCCCAGCACTGATGTATAGTAGGAAATTAGGAATATAGATCTGGATCTTAACAGAGAGGACTTGACTGGAGATAGTAAGGTATAGTATGAGAGTATAGTATCAACAGCATAGGAGGAATGACTAACTTAAGAGGCAATATAAGGTAATGGTTCAGAGAGGTACCTCAGGAGGTCCAACACTTCCCTGCTGTGCAACTTTGGGCAAGCTACTTACCTCTCTACACCTCAGCTTTAGCACCTGTAAAATAGGGATAACCATAGTTTCTACCAACTGGAGTTGTTGTGAGGATTAAATGAGTTAATACATGTAAAAGAATGCATGACCTACTTAATAAATATTACTGTTACTATTTTCTCCTTTTCAAAGATAAGGAAACTAAAGCTGAGAGTGGATACGTGACTGGCCGAATATGACACAGCTAAAGTGACAGTGTCAAGCTTCAAAGCCAGTTCTTCCTAAGACACATTCAATGTTCTTTCCATTATATCACTGCAGCCAAAAATTTTAAACATTCAACGCATTAGCTCCCCATTTGTGAAAGGGGAAAAATAATAATAATACATACATACTTTATAGGATTATTATAATATTTGTATTTAGAACAGTACCTGAGATGAAGTGTTATAAAATGTTTGCTATTAGTGATAGTAATAATAAAGATAATAATAAAAATAATAAAATTTTGCCCGTATCTTATTGCCTGGAAGAATAAAAGTGCCTCCTTTTACAACTAACTCAGGCAAGATTTATTGAGGATAGAATGGGGTAGGTGGAGTGAGTCGAGTCGCTAGTGGTGTGTCAGATGCTTCCTTTGCATAAGAAGAGAAGAATGGTAGGGCTTTGTGGACAAGCTGAGTGGAGCTGGCAAGGCTGATAGCTTTTATTCTTTGGACTGAACAAATGGGCTTGGGAGGGGGTGGGTAGAATAGAAAAATTTCAGATCTTTCAAATCTGCAGATCTCCAGTGACAGTGACCACATCTGGTGTCAACCGAAACCTACCCTCAAAAGAAAGAAATACATCTACAAAATGAAGCTTTGGAAGATAGGCAAATAGGAGAAAAAGAGGCCAGGGCAGAACGGAAAAAGCACAGGTCAAAACAGATTTATCTTGACTCCTGGTTTCCTACTCTCTGATCCGTTATGTAGCTTCAGGATTTCTTTGTGATTGTTTGCGTAGTCGAGAATCTTTTTGATTGTTTTTTTATTTCCAAATCCCACACAGTGGGATACAAGTTTTATGCTTCTATTCCCGTTTCATCAGGAAAGAACAGAGTGAAAACTTTTCAATCTTCTCTCCCGCTTCCCCTCCCCACGTTGCTGAGATGATTTAATGCCTCGTAACAGAAGTAATTTTGTGATAATGACACAAAGGCAGCAATTAAAAAATATTGCTTGTTTTA